TTAAATAAATGGTTTTGGGGTTGACTTCAGCAATGATGACTTGCATCTCTCTGTGCTTTTAGAGGACAAAATGCACTAAAATGGGTTGTTGAGCTCGCCCAGGTTTGGGAGGCTGTGGGTTGAGGCTCCTCCTGCTCTGCCCATTCTTAGGATGGAAGAAATGGAGGTTTGCAGGTCAGATTTAGGTTGGACAGGACTGAACTCACCCTGGACACCTTCACTCCTGACCTCCCACAATGTCATTATTAGGGCTCGAGGGGAAAACCAAAAGGAAAGGGCCTCTTTTTTGCCTTTGCCGTGGCAAAATACTGGGAAAACACACCAGGAAAGTGCCAGGAAAGCGTTCCTTTAAAAGGAATATTTTATTAGCACAACGCTGGGGGGAGAAGAAGGCATTAATTTCATTTATGTATCTCCCCACAGGAGGGAGACAACGGCCTTTCCTAAATCTCCCTTCCTCTGCCTCTATTTTAGGGGTATCTTTTGTCTGCTCGAGTTGTTCAGCTGGAAAACCAAGGTGAGCTAAGCCCAGCCCAGTTGGGACACTCTGGGCTAGTGAGGAGGAGCAGGGATTCTGTGATCCAGCACGGGGGGATGTGTTGGTTTCTCGCAGGGTTTGCTGTTCTCCTGCAGCTGGGGCTCCTCTCTGCCTTCATGGCCAAACCTCTCGGATTCCCCTTGGAAGCAGCCTGCTTTCCCTCTTGTTCGGCTTTCTGCGGCATATGGAAAAGCCTTCGGCTTTGATCCGAAGCAGCTGGTTCCTGACTCAGCTGGAGCACGTTGCGCAGGGAGGCGGATCAGCTGGAGAGACCTCGGAGTTGCTGGAAACATAAACATTCGGTGCTGGGGTGGCTTTTTTGTTCCCTTTCTTCCCCAGTTTAATTTTTTTACGAGCTGAGCCGGAGCCAGCTGTCCTCTGGCCAGGCCAGAATCTCTGCTGCCAGGCTCAAGTTTTTTAGATCTATATTGTAAATTCTGTATTTTTATGTTCCTCGTAAGGCAGAGGCTGCTCCGAAAAGTGCAGAGCCTTACGAGCACAATGGAGCTTTTACCCACTTCTTTTCCCCTCATAAATGCTGCCATTTTCCATTAAACACCCTTAAAATGAACCCTCTGTACCAGCCACCTGTTTCTGGGCACCCCCCTGCCCATGAACATCCCATGGGAAGCAGGAAGGATGAAGGGTAAAAACCGCCTGATGAGGGGTCACACAAAATAAAAACAGATCCACGGAGCGACGCGCTGGGGAGGGGGGATGGAGGCTCCTGTTTTCTGACTGATTTAAACCCAAGTTGCTACAAAACCAGCAGCAGAAGGCAAAGGGCCAGCTGGCCCCGGTGGCATTTCCTCCCTGGCACGCGCCGGATCCACGCCGGTGAAGATCTCGAGGTATCCCCAGAGTCGCCCTTTAGAGATAACTCATCTTGGGGCCTCCACCTCCCACACGGAGAGGAGAGATTTCCTGGCGCGTGGGTGGCTCTGCTTTTTCTTCTGCAGAAAAACCCAGGTTTGCTCATTTTTCACCCTCTGCCACCGAGCCAGGGCCCCCACTGGGGTCTGGGGCTCCCTCCCAGCTGTTCCATCCCTTGCTGGTGGGTGACCCATCACCGGTTAGCCCTGGCCAAGCCCTTTCTGCTGGCAGCATCTCCCATCAGTTCCCAGCCAGATTTCCAAATTATGATTTTTAATGCATTAATAAAAAATTGAAAAAAAAAAAAAAAAAAGAAGCGTGAGGTTGTTAAAGCTGCAGGTACCTCACTAATTAGTCAGACTCACATTAAGAAGCAGCGGTCCTGGTTCCCGTCCAGGTGAGGCATCAAAGCCACCCAAGGCGATGTCACTCATTCCAACAGGAACAACAAATAACTTCAAATATCTGTTAACAGGTACACCAAATTCAATTGGGGCAGCAGTGAATCCAAGTTATATCGTTCCAGGGGCCACTTGGGTCATGATAGGACCATTCTTCAGTCCCTTGGTCTGTCACCACGTCATCTTGCAGATGGATGGAAGCAGTGACACTCCTACACAGAGGGTTTAGGTGCTTCTTTAACAAAAATATCCATCTATTTTACAAAGCCCATGTATTTTTATCTGTAGCCAACCTTTACCGTTTACAGTAGTCCCTGGGGACTACTGCAGAACACGTTGATGAGGAGCAAAGGCTTGATTTGGATTTTTTTGTTGTTGTTGTTTTTTTTTTTAAACTCAGCTCCTCACTATTCACCCGGGATGGGGAAACCGAGGTTTGCTCCCTGCCTGACACGGGGGATATGGAGCCACAGTGCAGGGAAAGCAATGCCTGGTAACTCCCTCTAAATGGGAGAGGGGTTGGGGGGGCAGGTTTGGGGTGCTGGTGATGTCACCCACAGGTGCCTGAGCCCGGTGGCAGCTCGGGGCACGTCCCACGGCTGCTGTCCCCACATCTGTGCCCAGCTCTGTAACACACGTGCTGTCCCGCTCCGCTGAGCATCCCTGAGTCCCCTGCTTTCCTTTCTGCCCCCCGTCAGGAAAACCTCCTCCTCTCCCTCCTCTCCCTTCTCCCCTGGCTCCAGGACCACCTCGGGGGAGCCCCCGGGGCCGTGGCAGCTCCCTCCTTCCCGTGGCTGCGAGCCAAGGTGACGGCACCACGCCGTGGTAAAGGTCAGGCTCCAAGCCCGGCTCAGATAAAGCCTCGTGTTTGAGGTGTGTGGCTTAAACCTGATTTTATCTGCCAGCCATTTGTGAAATACCATTTGTCACGATGGTTGGAGGAGAAGGAGGAGAACAAGGCGCCGTTTTTTTTTTTTTTTTTCCGTTTGCTGTGTTGTTCAGTTCAAAATGGGTTTGGTGAGCAGCTGCTGGGTGAGGGAGGGGAGATTGTTAGGGGGGGTTTTCCCTGTGATACTGTGGCTTTTCACACCAGACACACTCTCCTTTCCTCCATCCTCCTCCCTGGCTGCTTCCAGCTGGCAGGGACAGCCTGCTGGGATTGGGCTGGACACGATGATCTTGGAAGTCTTTTCCAACCTAAGTGATTCTGTGACAGCACAGAGGGAGGGCTGAGAGATGCCATGGTGGGAATTGGGAAGCTGCAGCAACATGGGATCCCCACCATTCCCATTCTCCATCCCTCTCCTGCTCCCCTCGCCTTTCTCCCTTCTCGTTTCCATGTGGGAGACAGGACAGTCATCTGCAAGAGAGATGCTGGTGGATCTGAGGGAGCTTTGCTAAAGGCCACTAGCAGCTGTCGGTGCTGCAGGAGAAGGGCTGGGATGTGGCATCTCCAAAAGAACATCCCCGAGGAGCTGGGCAGCGGATGCTGCAGAGCCCAAGGCAGCAGTGAGGGGCAGGTTTCAAGGCCCCTTCTTTCCCTCCATGCCCGTAGATGGGTACAGTGCCAGGCTGCCAAAAATCCATGACCTTTGGGATGTGGCTTCGGTGCAAATGCCTCCGAGATGGCTCACAACAATAGGAACGAGGACACCGTCGAAACGGATTTGTTCCAGGAGGGTGACGCTGTGATTCACGGGGGGAAAATGCACTCAGAGAAAGAGGGGGGGACACTGGTGGCTCTCCAAAAACGCAAGGGAAGGATGAGCCCAGCGAGAAGGGCTAGCTCAGTTTTGGGGGTTGAGAAGGGCGGGTTGTTCCCCATCACCTTCTGCTTGCATGAGCCGCCCACACAGAAACCAAACCGAGCCAGGAGGAGAAAGTACACGCAGCATCTGCCGGCTGGCCCCATGTCCCGGCAGCCCTGGTGCCTCCAGAGAGACCCCCTCGCTCTGCCTTCAGTGGCTCCTGGATCCAAGGGAAGTGGAGGGAAGCAGGAATCCCTCACAGACTCCGTGCCATGGGCACTGCTGCCGGAGGGCTGGGAAAGGAGGCACAAGCCTGATTTCCAGCCCTTCTTCTCCCTCACTTTCATGCTGTGGAAGGTGACGGTGCTGCCAAACTGGTTGGAGGGACCCTCGAATCTTTCCCTTCTGCTGCCTGTCCCTGCCTTCAAATTTTTACCTAATGAGTTTTCCTAATGAGTTTCCCAATTTATTTTTGCCCTCTCAAACACCTGCACACCCTTTTCCTTTCCATCCCATTGGAGCAGTGTGATGGTGGTAGGAACAGAGCCAGGTTGGCGGTCAGGGATGCTCCAGCAGTGTGCAGGACCACCCTGGACTCTCATGGATGTGTTGGGGGAATCCTGGGTGGGATGGGGGGCCCCAGCATCTGCTCCATCAGCAGCGCTCAGCCCCTGCAGAGGCTGTGCTGGGTTCTTCCTCTCCATGGAGTCCTTTCTCTCCGTGGTGTGCATGGGGTGTGCAAGCTGTGTGTGCACAGAGCAAGTGTGTATGTAAGGGGTGAGCCTGTGGTACGTGAGGGGAGTGCATATGTGTGTGTGTGTGTCATGCGTGCGTGTACAAGGCTGTGGGTACACACGCGCGTGTGTAAGGCTGTGAGCACACACGTGTGTGTGTGTGTACAAGGCTGTGAGCACACACGCGTGTGTACGAGGCTGAGGGCGCACACGAGTGTGTGTACGGGGATGTGAGTGCCCAGGGCAGCGTGCCCGTCCCCGTGTGCCGTGCCCTGGGCAGCGCGGCGGGCGGCGGGCGGTCCCCGCGGGCGGTGCCAGCGCTGCGGGGCGGTCCCGGGGCGGTCCCGGGGCGGTGCCGGGGCCGCAGCCGGGGCGGTGCAGCGCCCGTGTCGGGGCGGTGCCGTGGCCGGGGCGGTGCCGGGGCCGGGGGAGGCCGGGGCGGTGCTGGGGCTGTAAACACGGGGCGGAGCGGGGCCGGGGCCGGAGCCGTTCCCGCGCACACCCGAGCGCATCGGCGGCCGGGGCCGCTCCAGCGGCGGCAGCACCGTGAGCGGGGCCGGGGGCGCGGGGCGGGGGGGCCGGGCCGGGGCAGGACGGGGCCGGGCCGGGCTGGGCGCTCGGCAGAACAATGGGGCGGGCGGGCGGGGGCCGGGCCGGCCCCGCTGACCGCGCTTTCCCCGCGCTCCGCTCCCCGCAGGCAGCCCCGATGGCCAAGCAGCCCCCCGAGGTGAAGGCGCGACGCGACGGCGAGGGCGGGCGGCTGCCGGCGGCCGAGGGGCCGGGCCCGGGCGCGCAGCTGCGCCCCGGCGCTCCCGCCGCCCTGCCCGGGGCCGGCGGCGGCAACGGGAACGGGAACGGCTCCGGCGCGGCGCGGGGCCCGCCCGCCAGCCCCGGCCCCTTCGCCACCCGCTCGCCGCTCTTCATCTTCGTGCGGAGGTCGCCGCTGCTGCCGCGCTCCTCCAGCGGGTACTTCTCCTTCGACGCCGAGCGCAGCCCGGGGCCCCTGTGCTGCGACAAGGCCACGCAGACCCCCAGCCCGCCCTGCCAGGCGCTCAGCCACTGCCTCAGCGCCATGGGTAAGGGCTGCGGCCGGGCTCCGCATCCTCTGCCTCCCTCCGCACCTGGCCGGGCTTCCTTTCCCTTCCCTCCCCTTCCCCTGCTCACCTGGCCGGGCTTCTCTTCCCTCAGAATGATGGAAGAGGCAGGTTCTCGTGGGGGCGTGCAAAGGTGCGAGTGCACGGTGCGAGGAGAAATGTGAATACTCTGCGCAAGGCGGGTTGTAAGCCCCTGAGAGGTCCTGCTCCTCACCTGGCTTAGCTTCCCTCACCTCTTGCTCCTCACCTGGCTTGGTTTTCCTTGGAATGATGGAAGTACACAGGTTCCTGTAGGGGTGTGCAGGGACAGTGTGTAGGGGTGTGGATGCACAGTGCCAGGGGGTTGTGTACAGGTGTGAGCGCAGGAGGGGTGTGCAAGGTGTGAGTACGCAGTGCCAGGGGGGTCGTAAGTGCACGAGTGAAGCCGCGGGTCCTCCTGGTTGCGTGACACACCTGCAGCTGCACCTCTCGCGTCCCACCCTCTGGATTTTGGGAGTGTGGCTGTCCCGAGCTGGCCGTGGGCTGGACGCTGGCCCGGCACTCTGGGATTTGTGGGAGCTGGCCGGGCCCGCCGAGCAAACACTGCGCCGGGGAACTCCCGCGTGTCCAGCGCCGGGGTTTTGATTACTATGATGTTTATTCTTTTCCGGGCTGGGTCAGTCCCTGCCAGGGGAGGAGGGGACAGACTCAAGTCCAGCTTCCTACTCCAGGCTTGCTCTTCCAAGGTTGTTTGGCCAAGCAAGTGGCTTCTGGCTCATGTGTCGCTCCCGGTTCTCTCCCGGCTCTCAGCATTGGAGGTGATGGGGTCATGGAACCCCAAATCCCGCTGGGAAGCGGCGTGGAGGCGAGCGGGGGTGTGTTTACATGTGGCTTTGCCAGGTAAAGCCTCTCGGGCGGGGAAAACCTGCCCACGTGTCCAGCATTCTACTCTCCTGATTAATTCCTCCTTAGCTGGGAGAAACCTTTTAACTTCCACCGGGTGAAACCAGGGCAAGGCAGGGGGACAACAAACACCAACTCCCAGCTTTCCGGGATCAAAACACCGTCTTTTTTTGTCGGCGGTGTTTTTGCTCCCTCCCGGCTCCGGGCTGTGGTTACGGCTGCGGAGGCCTTGCTGGAACGTGCCCTTAGGAAAGATTTTGGGACATTATTGCAGTAATTACAGCTTAATGCAGTTTCACAACCTCACGTTGGCATGGCCGGGCGAGGATGCTCCTGGAGTTCCTCGCAGGGAAAGCCACGGCTTCAGGTTCTTTTTTCCGTGAAGAAACTGATGTTTTCCCTGATTTTTTTTTTTTTCCAAGTTCCTGCATTCTCATCAGCTGTTTTAGTGGAGCCTGCGCTCTGTTAGTGTTGCCAAGGGCATCATCCTAAACAACTATAAGCAAACGGAAAAATCTTGGCACTGCTTAACCACTGGACCCGTGGATGTTCCCAAATGCGATTAAACTGGGAACGTGTAGGTGTGGAGCTGTTTTATCCCTATCTGGGACCACAGCTCCCAGGCTGTGACTTCCCACACAGCTCTCCTGGAGAAATATCCCTGGCTTCGGCCTGCACACCTCTCCCTCAGTCCCTTTGCCCTGGCAGTGTCCCACCGGATCCGTGCCATTAAGTTTTCCGCATGGAAGTGGGTCAGTCCCTCAGGAAGGAAGCAAAGGGTATATTTTTGTTGTGCTTTCATGCACTGATTTTATCTGTGGTGAGCAGAGGCTGCGAGGTGGAGAGTTTCTCTCAGAAGCACAAGCAAGCGGCCTTTAATAATAATAATAATAATAAACAGGCACTTCCTGTGAGCAGGAGCGACGGATGCTCCCAGCCTCTCCCGTGGGCAGCAGGGAGTTGCTCCAAGGCTGCTCCAGCACTGCAAGCTCATGCTGTGCCCCAAAACTCCCTCTTCTAAATCTCGTAAAAACCTTCCCCAAAGTTTTCAGTGAGGGCACAAAAAAGTTGGAGGCAGCCCTTGGGAATGCTGGGATGCCTTGTGTTGGGAGGTGGTGGATGCCTCCAATTGGAAATGAGACAGCAAGGGGAGGTTCTGGGATGGGAGGGAGCAAGGGTTGTGTTCTTGGCTTGGCATCTCCAGGAAGATGCTTCTGGGGATGGGCAGGAGAGGAGCAGGGGTGAGTTGATTTGGTTGGGCTGGAGGGTGAGTGCTCTGTAAATAGGCTTACCCAGTGCTGCTCTGATCCCGGTGTATTTTCCCACGGGGAGAGAAGCATCACCAACCTCTTGTTGCCCACTGGGGAGACCCTCCCGTGGAAACGGGTGGGTTTAAGGGGAAAACCTTGAGCTGGGAAGCTGCTGGTGGCGTCTGGTGGAGCTGCTGCCATTTCCTTTTTGGGGAGGTTTTCTCCAGGGGGGTTGGATAACTAAGCCCAGGGTTGAAGGTGCAGCTTGGGGTTGGTGTTTTTTTTCGCCCTCCTAAGCCGGGACTGCGGCGCTGCCGGGCTGGAGCATCCCATGGGGTGGAGTGAGACGTGTCACCCGGCGGTGCCGGTGGCCTCTGGGTTTGTCCCCGTCCCCGGGGCGGCCGTGTCGCCCTCGGTGTGTCGCGGTATGACTGTGCCCCCCACCCCCGCCCCCGAAAGCTCCTCTGACTGGTTTATGGACCAGTTATGACTGGACCCTTTTGACGCAGCGCCACAGAAAGTCCTTTCTGAAAACCTCAGCCCAATTTCGCTCTCAGCCACCAACCCCAGGCTTCGCCTCTCGGGCGGATGAGCTCGTGGGCGCTTTGCTGGGGCCGGGGGGGAGGGAAGGATGGAGAAGGGGGGGGAAAGGATGGAGAGGGAGCAGAACCTCTGCCCCGCGTGGTTTTCCCGAGATGCTCGCGTGTCCTCGCATCTTTTTTGTCCCGTCTGCCGTCGTGTTTTTGTTTCCCTCGCTGGGCCGGGCGGCTCTGCTGACGGCGGTGGGATTTCGGATGGTCGCTCCGCCCCGGCCGGAATCCTGTTTGCCTTCCCGGAGAGCCAGGGCTGGAATATCGCGAGGGCTGCGTTTCATTCAGCAGCGAGGAGAGGCAGCGCTGCGGGGCCATCCCCGGCCAGGCGGCGGGTCCGACTCCTGCGCTACTACAGCGTGAAAACAAAACACGTCCCCGAGCCAAGCGGCGCTGCCTTGGCTCCGAAAGACATTTTCCAGTCAGGTCGGAGCCAGGCTTTTATTTAATTTTTTAATTTTTTTTTTTTTTTTACTAATCCCTTGAATATTCGGAGATTTGAAGCTGTTCCCGTTCCCTTGTGATTCCTGTGCCAAAACACTGTTTTGTTTTTTTGCAGTGTTTTTTTTTTTTATTATTATTATTATTTATTTTATTTGGTTGTGTGGTGTGGGGTTGTTTTATTTTTATTTTTGTTATTTTCTTTTTTTATTTAGTTTTTATTTTTGGTTTTATTTACTTATTTATTTTCCTTAGGGCTGTGATTCCTACTGGGATCCTGCGCTTGGGTTTGCAGGAGGGGGGGATGAGGCGGAGCCAGTACCGTAGGTGATTGGTCCTGCCTCCTTTTTTTCCCTGGCTGTTTGAGGGATTTATCATGTGTTTAATAACTTCTTAAGATGGAGACTGAAATAATTATGTATCACACAGTATAGTTAATACATTAACTCTTTTTCCACTTACGAGCCAGCACTTGGTTTTGCTGGGAGTGTGGTTTCTCCACACACCAATCCAGCTGTGCCTTTCTTCTCCTTGTGACAAGCCCTTTTCCTTTCCTCGTTGGGCACTTTGGGATGACTGGGGCCAGAAATGTGATAATTGGGTGAAACTATCCAGACAGAGGGTTTTTAAGGTCAGGGAAGGAGCTGCTGCTGTGCCTGCAAGGAAAGAGAACTGTTGAGAAAGGGAGGGGGAAGGGGAGGTTTGGTGAGGGAAGGAAACTCGAGAGTGGCATCCTGGCTTTTCTCCCTGTTTAAAGAGGGGACCAAGGCTTGGAGATGCTCCTAGGGAAAACCTATAATAATGAATAAATAAATAAAGAATAATAATAGGAATAGTAAGGAATAAAATCCCCGGCTTGTGACGACAAGCCCCCATTTGCGCAGCAGAACATCTGGCACCTGGGTGCAGAATTAAGACACGGTGATACTAAAAAGCAGCAATAAAAACGGCAAGACTGGGTGGGCTGCTGTGAAGTTCCACAGAGCATTTATCCCTGGCTTTTTGTTTCCGCCCTTCCCCATTCTCCCCGTGCAGCTTCCCGGTGGCACTCGGTAGCGGAGGACGTGCAGCCCGAGGTGTGGATCGCGCAGGAGCTGCGGCGCATCGGGGACGAGTTCAATGCCTCCTATTGTCCACGAAGGGTAACTTTCCCCTCTCTACTTTCCATTTCTTCTCGCGCGTTCTCTCTGAAAGGGAAAAGCTTAATCATCTCTGGAAACTGCTGCGGTGAGCGCCGGGCGCGCTCAGATGGAGAAAGGGCTGCGCGGGTGGCGGTGTCGGCCCGCACGGGGCCACTCGTCGGCTGCGGCTGCAGTGGGGTTAAATCAATCAAAAATAACCTTCAGGTGGGGGCTGGAGGCCTTTTGTGGGGGGAGAAGTTTGCAGGAGATTTTTGGGGCCGGTGTTGATGGCTTGGGCCTGGACCTGGTGGTAACGGGGAACAGACTTCTAAGAGTTAGACAGGGAAAGTTTGGGGGTGTTGGGGCATTTTGGGGGTAGAGTTGGGCCTGGACCTGATGGTAATGAGGAAGAGACTTCTAAGAGTTAGACAGGGAGAGTTTGGGGGTGTCAGTGCCTGGCTCTGCTGCTTTCAGGGAAGCATTCAGGGCGTGAATGCAGTGGGATTCCAATCCCAGCTCCCAGCTCCCTGCAGCTGTGTGTGGAAGCTGCAAAGAGGAAACTTGGTCCGATTAACTTATTTTTCTTGCAAAGACTCTGTTTTGAAACACGGGTGTTTATAAGACCATAAACTGGCTCACCTTCGAGTGTTGCAACAAAAATCGATGCTCTGATGCCTGTAAAAAAAGCAGGGACCCAACTCCAAACCGGCCCAGCCCGGGGGGTGAAGCAACAGGAGTTTGCAGAGGAGCCTCGCCGCTGATGACTCCGAGCGTTCCCGACGGCTGCGTGCCCGTGCTTGTGGGTCCTGGGCCATGGATTCGTGGGAAGAGGAGCCAGGGGCGCGTTTGGGAGCAGTGTTGGTGACGGAATGCCGGCTGCCTGGGTCCTTATCCGCCCTCCCCATCTCCTGAGTCACTCCTGCAGCGTTTCCTCACCGCTCCCAGGGTACAGAGGGTTGGCTTTCCCCTCAAAGGGGGTTCCAGCTGCCAGGATCCAGCTTTCTGCATCGTCTCCATCTGCTCCATTCTCCTTCCAAACACTCTGGCTCTTCAGACCTGCAACAAACTGTGATGAGCTGTGCTTTATCCTGAATCCAGAGTGTGCATCTTCTGATCTCCCCCCTCCTCCAGGCTGATCCCTGGAGAAACCACATTTTGGATTCAAAGGACATCTTTCCCAGCAAAAGGAGGGACCAAGCTGTTCAGAAAGCTGGAGGCACCTGGTAGCAGTCAGCTGATCCAGAAGAGCTGGTGGGAATGTGGAAAGCCCTGCCATATCATGGAATATCCTCAGTTGTAAGGGATCAGCAAGGATCAATAAGTCCAACTCCTGGCCTTGCCCAGGACACCCCAGCAGTCCCACCTGAGACCATTGTCCGAACACTCCTTGAGCTCTGCCAGCCTCGAGGCCGTGACCAGTGCCCTGGGGAGCCTGTGCCAGTGCCCGGCCACCCTCATCCCTTCTCCCGTCTCCTCCCTGCCTCCCCAGAGCAGTGCCTTAAATTTGGCAAACCCCGGAGCACCTTGTGTGAGCAGGTTTGTGAGGAACAGGAGCACCTTGTGTGAGCAGGTTTGTGAGGAACAGGAGCGTCCTGCCCGCGTCATCCTGTGGGGACAAGCCCCCTCACCGCTGGAAATGCGCTCCAGGCACATCCCGAGATTCCAGCCCTGTGCCCTGGGGAGGGAGAGGCAGAACGCTGAGGACACATCCTGCTTGCTCGATGGCACGAGCAGGGGATGACCCCACAAACGCTCCGGACCTGCCTTAACCAGCATCTCACCTGCCCAGTCCTCCCTCGGTGCACCCAAAAACGGGGAGGAATTCCCATCCCCGAGGCGCGTGGCTGTTGCTCCGCGGGGAAGGTGTCTCTTCCTCCTGGCAGCATTCCAGCCGCTCCGGAGCCCTGGGGCGGGAGGGGAAGGAAGGTGGGAACGGCTCATGCCCGCCGGCCCCACCTGGCTGGGCTTTGCCCTTTAAGGCCGAGGGTAGAAATGGGGAACTGGGGGCAGTGCCAGAGCGGCGCCGGCCGGGCAGGTCGGAGCTGTCGGACGGGTCGGGGCTGCGCGTTCCCCGTCACGTTCCCCCCCTGTCACGTTCCCCACCCGTGCGTCACCCCCGGGAGCGTTTCAGGCCAGGCAGCGGGAAACGGGGCAGCTCCTGGCCCGGCCTCGCAAAGCTGGTGCTCCAGTGGCCACGGAGACCTGCCCCACAGCAGGGCTTCTGCTGGCAGGGGTGGGAAGTTGAGGAATCGCAGAATCACTGGGGTTGGAAAAGCCCTCCCAGCCCGATGCCCACCTTGTCCCCCAGCTCAGAGCACTGAGTGCCACGGCCAGGCCTTCCTTGGACACCCCCAGGGATGGGCACTCCAAACCTCCCTGGGCAGCCCCTTCCCATCCTTAACAATCCTTTCCATGAAGGAATTCTTCTGGATATCCACCCTGAGTGCCTTATTTCAACTCCCTGGTTATTCTTTTACCTCTTTATTCAACAAAACCTAATTTTGGCCTTTCTATTCCACCGTTTAAGCCTGATGAGGTTTTTGTCTTTTTTTTTTTTTTCCCTTGCTCTGCATCATATTGAAGATTGGGCAGTGTGGTTGTGGCTTAGCCTTGGGCTGGTGGAGGAGGACCTGGGCCTGCTTTTCTCCCTTTTGAGGGGGATTTTCATTTCATTTGGAATATTTTTCCCTCTACCCCGTGGTTTTAACCCTCCCTGAATGTCCTAACAGGGTTCCCTTGGGATGTTTCAAACCTCCTGGCAGTGCTGCATGACTCCTGGGCCCACGTGCATGTGACACCCCTCAAAATCCACGTGGTTGGGAGAGGGCAACTTTGACCCTTTGATCAGAGGCAGAAGGGTTAAAACATGAAAGGTCACTGGGTTTATCCTCGTTCTTTGCTACACACTTGAATGTTTGCCTCTGGAATATCATCCAGGTGTTTGTAACACAGGACCTTCATACTGGAACTCAAACTCACTGGTTTGTTTGGTTTTTCTTTCCCTTTTTTTTTTGTTCTTTTTTTTTTTATCCCCCCTCTCCATTTCAGGGTTTCTTGGATCACCAGGTGGGAAACCCCCAGGTCATCATCCTGCGCCTGCTGCGTTACATCATCCGCCTCATCTGGAGGCTGCAGTGAGCGCCCGGCGCCCCCCGAGGCTCCACGACCTCTTTGCTCGCTGGGAAAGGCTGGGAAGGACAGACAGACGGATGGGATGTGGGGCTCCCACCCTGCTTCTCCCCCAGGACACGTGGCAGGACGAGGCTGTTCATCCCACGCCGACCTGCCGGGCTCCGGTGCAGTGTTTTATCCCAGAGTGGTGTTTACTCAGCGTTTCAACTTTTATTCCTTTTTATTTTTTTTTTAATTTTTTTTTTTTCCCGAAAGAGTCTCAGTGAAAACGTGGAATAATTTGTTGTCATCCCTTCCTGGAATCCTCTGGGAAACCTGAGCCAGCTGATGGGCGAGAGACTCAGATTCCTCCCCTGTCCCTTTGCCTCTGGGGCATTTGCCCACCAAAAAGGCTGGAAGAAGGGCAGAGGGCTTTCAATCAGCACTTCTTTTACCTGTAAATACCTAATGCTACCCCAGGTCCACCTTCATTTGCATCATGCAAATTGCCTATTTCCTGCTGACTGATGATTTTTTTATGATTTTTTTTTTTTTGGTCGTTTTTTTATATCTCTGTGGTTTTTTATACACTCTGAATTTCAAAGACTTCGCTGTCGAACTCCAGGGTCCAAACCATCACAACCAACCAACCAACCAACCAACCAAACACAAACCCCGATCCACCAGGTTGCCTTTTTTTTTTTTAGAGAAAGTCTTTCTATAAAACGTGTGAAAACGCTTCTGTAGTGTAAAATATAATATATAGAAGGGAGGGGGGGTGACACACACTGAGGAATTCAGCAATAAAACATCCCGGAGGCAGGAGGAGCAGCTCCCAGGACACCACAGCGGCCGGCGGAGTGCGAGTTGTTCTCAGAGCAGGAGGGTTTCCGAGGCGCTGGACTGTGTTTTCCTGGGATCCTCTCTGTGTGTGGGGGCAGAGGGATGAGCGGGCACGCCACGGAACCCCCGGAGGCAGCTGGGAAGGAGCCGGCCTGGCACGGATCTGCTGCAGGACTTGTCTGTCCCCACCGACCGCCCTGTGCCCGGCAGGGAACGTCCCATTCCACCCGGACACTCCGAGGGTGCGGTGCAAGACACAGGTGTGTGTGTGTGTGTGTGTTCTTTGTATCCCCTTCACCTCGGATGTTTTTGGGGGAGCAGCTGCTGCAGCCACCCCCCTATCTATGCACAAGCACCCCCTTCGTGCTACCCCTTCCCTCTGGCGGGGGGTCCCACCCCGTGTCCCGGTTATTTCTGGTTTCACCGGTTCCACCAGCGCCATAGGAAAGGGAAAAACAAAACAAAACAAAACAAAACGAAGGAAAACCCAATTCCCCAGTCCCCCGGAGCGGTTCTGCCCACAGGGAGCAGCTGCTGAGTGCCATGGGTGATGGTTGGTGTTAAGGATGGACGGGCTGCAGCGGGACCTCCCTGCCCTGGCTGTGCCGTGGTGTCACAGTGGGGCCTCCCCCTGTGCTCCTGGAGGGTCACAGGGCGAGTTTTAACCTTCATTGCCAAGTTTATTCCCTTTTTTTTTTTTTTTTTTTAAAGTGGGCATCGGTTGCAGGAGCGGGGAATGTTTCAGGAAGGGTTTTTTGGAGAGGGTGTGTGGGGGAGCCTTTGCACTGGTGGGGAGCGAGAGGTTCAATAACTGGTGAGCTGGGCCGGGGCAGATCCTGCTCCTCATCCCATGGGATTTGGCTCTGGCTTAGGCTCAGGATTTCCCACGGGAACCTACGTGGAATTCCGTGGCTGTTGATAAAATTAAATAAGTAAAATTCAGCAGCAGAGAGGGGGCGGGGAAACCAAGTGAGACTTTTCTCCTGATTGAGGTTCATCATTGCTGGTGGATGAAATGGTGCTTTGGGGTCTCCCGGCCTTATGGAATCCTGGAATGTGTCCCTTGGAATACACCAAAGAATCACCGAGCACTTTACCCCCTCCTCCCATGGAGACAGAAGATAGGCTGGTTTTAAGGAGAAAAAAAAAAAATTCCAAGGATTGGCAAAGTCTCCCAGGGGCTTCTCCACAGGAGGAATACCCAGCCAAAAGGCATAGGAAAATTAACCCCCCAAAAAGCAGTTTTAGGGGAACAGCCCCCTCCCCCCCCAAAAAAAAAAAAAGCCTCAAACCAGAAGAATGATGTTATAAAATAGGGATTATGCCCATTTAGCCACGTTGGCTCTGGGCTGTTTTAAGCATAACCTGTGCTCTGTGTTGCACCAGAAGGATGTGATGAAGAGTTTTCCTTGGATGTGGGGAAACCAGATTTATTCCCGGTCCTGCTTCTCCTCTTTTTCCCCAACTGTAAATACCCAAATATTTATTAGAGTAGGGCACCGTATTTTCATCATCTGAGCCAAATATCTGTGTGCAATGTACTCCCTCTCCTTTCTCTCCTGTAAGTTTTGTACAGCTTATAAATACATTAAAAAAAAAATTATTAAAAAACCCCCTGTTTTTTTCCTAAACTTTTTTTAGAGTTCAACTTGGTATAAATACTGTAGGGCCTTTTTTTTTTTTTTGATATATAATTTCCCGTGTAATTAATGCACTCTACTGTTTAATGCTGTAACTTGTAGAAACGTTGTGTATTTATTTTCTGCTTATTTAAGTTCCTGTGAAGATTTGGTTTCCCCCTTTCCTCTCTCCTCCCTGCCGTAAGTGTTGGATCACCTTTCCAAAGCCATCGTGGGGTGGATAAACGATTGAACCCTTTCTCGCTCCAAGTGCCTGAGTCCCCCACTTCCCAGGAGTGATTTAGGCACCTCAAAGACTTCAGCATTAGTGAAAGCCGGTGGGAACTCGGCTTCTCCACGCCCTGGGACTGTTCAATCCAGGTTTTTTTCCTCCTCCTGGGAGCAGCCATCCCCGTGAGGTCACCGAGTCGTGGCGCAGGACCCAGCGGATGTAGCATTTCTGACTGCAATTTCCCTGCCTTCCTTGTGTTTTGCACTGATGAATTTTGGACAGGGTAATTGCCACTTTTACTTGTGCAATACTGCTGTAAATAATCGCAG